CACATAAAAGGTAATCCCCTCAGAACCTCAATCCCTATCGTTGAACATTTTTCTGGTATAAATCTGACCATAGTTACGGTATTAACACATAAAAAGGCAAGTGAGTCGGAAGTTTTGTGTAAGTCTTCTCACTCGCTCATAATTGAGAATCTAATTCTTAATCGTTATAGACGACTCAGTTGGAAAGTCTGTAGCAGCTGTGAAATATTTATTGTTTCTTTATCGTTTATTGGTCAATATTTATTTTCACCAGCATTTATTGTTCATTAAGCAGATAATTTCTTCTTTGATAAACTTTCTTTCTGCTCTCCAGATACGAATCCGGAGCGTAAAAATTTCAGCTTTTTCAGGTTATGGTTAATATTTGTTTAATTAGTTTTCAATTGATATTGATCTATGAGCTACTTCCTCAGCATAACGATGTATAGTGACGACTTACATTATTTTTAAGCTCGGACATGCAATCTTAAATTTGTTCTTGATTACTTTCATAATTATTCTGTAACTCTGCTTATATATAACTGATTGCAATAAGTCTGGATAAGACATAATATTCTGGATATTATTGATTGTTATAACTCTGCATATATATCATTGATTGCGATAACTTTGCTTATATATAACTGATTGCGATAAATATCGCCATGAAAATATTTCAATCACCCAAAATCCATCATCGATTGATTCTTTGAACTGCTTGACACACGGAGGTGATTTATTTCGTTAATTATATTCGTCGAAGCTAATTGATATAAATACAAGGTTATATATATATATATATATATATATATATATATTAACATGGTTCGTACAATTACCGGACAAAATTAATTACAATTTGTAACATTACCGGACATCGGGTACAAAACCGGACAAAAATCGAGTCCGGTAATTGACGCTAGTACTTATTTAAAAGTGCATTATATATTGTACACTTGCATATATATTAAGTTTTTTTATAATTTCGATAAAATTTTCAGCAGACCCATTATTCTCGATCTTACCGACGCTAAGTCACAAATGCTGTCCTATTTGGAAGTGTCCCATGAAATTGGACGCATATTGGACGAAATTGGACGTATGTTTGACGAAATTGGACGTATATTGGACGAAATTGGACGTATATTGGACGAAATTGAGCCTCGACATAAAGCAAGTATACCTGCTTTGTGCTCAAGCAAAATGAACAAGTTTCAAGGTTACACTTCAGAAAGTTAGTAAAAGCAATTTTTATATCGTAATTAAACCATTCATGTTAAACATCAAGTGCGAGGAAGAGAGCGTCGATTATTGTGCCACTTAACTTATTGAAAAAATTATGAATTCGATCTCGAACCGCTTGTTAGATTTGATTCCCAGAGCCATATAATTGGTTTTTCAAAGTTTTCCTTGCATTTTTGTAACTAGACATGGTCTAAGTCTAAGTCTAACATGGCATTAACTGTTATTCTCACGATAAAATCTGGTTTTATAAATAAAAAGTCCATTAGCAAAATTCAATGCAGTCATCATATAGTGATCACTAGGATTCACAAAGTGACTATTAAAAAATGTTATCGTCGAATTTAAGATAATTATCGACGCGACAGCTGATATTATTTTGCGTTATGCATGCAAATAAAAACGGCTGTGAAGAATGGCAAACAACTGGAGTCTCACTTACGTGTTGCCATCTTCCTGCCTCGCCTGTTTTTCTTATATCTTCTCTTGGAGATTTTGTTCATAATGTTGTTGATGAGGGCATGCTTAGAAGACCCGGGGCCAACGGACGCGGCAGACACTGCTGCAGGAAGCACTTCGTTACTCACAACAAAGTCCCATACTTTCAAAAAAAGTTAGGAGGTCGTAAGTTCAACAGCCAATCATTGATGACCTTTCGAGCAAAATTCACCAATTATATATAAGAAAATAGAGCGTAAGTACCTAAGTTCACTTAGCGAGTTTTGAAAGTATGGCCCAAAGTCATCTTCGTAGCGCGTGTGAGGTCGGCGAGCAGCGGCCGCTGCTGCGCCTCCGCCTTGCTCTACCGCGTAGGTTGTGCGGTCACCTGACGTCTGGTGGTAGACTTAGAATAGAATAGAATAGAAGTGTCGGCACTGAAGAAATAGGCCCATGGCCTGTTGCCGATTCTTGTTCATAGAATATAATAGAAGTGTCGGCACTGAAGAAATAGGCCCATGGCCTGTTGCCGATTCTTGAATTTTTCGTGACTTGATTCACACGGGATCCGGCCTTTGGAACCCGATCTTTCCATAGCTGACGATTGATTGAGATAGCTGCTGGACTTATTGCCTGGTCAGTAATTTGCTGGGCATTTTAAGACTGAACATATGCTCCTGCATAGCTTCGTCTAGTCTGTTTTTGAAGGCGTTCATACTCGGAGCGTCAACGATGCTATCAGGGAGGCTGTTCCACATGTCGGTGACGCGAAGCGAGAAGAAATGTTGTCGCGTGGATGTGCCGCACGGGCGACGGCGACGCGTCGAACTCACGCGCCAGTTCGTACTCACGTACCTGTAACTTTTAGATATTTTACATTAGCTTTACATATGATGTTTTCCAGTCTCTAAGAAGCAAATCATGCATAATATACTAAATAGCCGACTATATACTAAATATACTAAATAGCCGACTAATAAATAGCCGACTATGTAATCGTCTCCAAAATAACAGACTCAAGCACTTGCTCTCGACGCAGAGGTTGAAGTACTCCACGTCAATGAACCAGTCGGGGGAGGGCACCACTCGGGCCACCACCTGCCGCCACATCAGTAAAAAGCAATCGTGAAACATAATACATTGAAAACTCCGAAAAATTCAAATTCCGCAACTATTCAATTCAAATATTATTGTCAATTCTTATCCTAGTCAGAAAAAGCTAACCAAACACCTGCACATGTGAGACAGACAACTATAAACACTCAGAAACGGTGGATGGGCCTGAATCTGAGTGAAACATGTTAGGCTGGAGGAAGCTGATTTAAAAAAAAAAGAATAACTTGAATAAAATTTCAAGCAATTCCTCTATCTCATTTGTGTAATACAAACACGAATCACTCAAATCAAACGTGATAATGATGGGTGATTCGATACTTCTGACATTGTCATGATTTTTATTTTTACTATTAACGCAAATATTATGGAACTCACAAAATCTTAGATAAATAACGATGGCATGAATCAATGATGCTGCTATTCCTAATACTCGCTTGAGTTTGTGCTCGAATGTTTTTTCTGTTAATCAGTTCGTAGAAAACGTGCAAGTGTGATTGGTGACTACAATAAAATGTTCAACAGTTCACAACAACTCAGAGTAATAAGTAACCAATTTTAAAACCCCTAATAAAATTAGACGTGCTCATTGTTTACGTCTGATGAGGTCAAAAACTAACCAATGAATGATTTCCATCGATGAAGAACTCAGCCTCGCCCTGCCCCGTCCCTTCTGTGAAGGGCGGTGCATTAAACTCTTCGAAGACGAGGGCAGGATGGCCCAGTGGTTAAAGTTCAGTTGATGTTTCTGATATATAGAATCAGCGTTTGTTATTCAGTAGCTATGACCAATGACTGTTTGAAAAAATCTAATAAATAATATGTTCCTTGATAAATATTAATTCATAGTAATAGAAAATCAAGTATTTCATTTAAAATATAGTATGGTTGTATAATTGACCATTTGTTATACTTAACCGGTTGTTATAGTTGACCAGTTGCTGTAGTCGACCAGTTGATCTATGTGCAGAGTTCATGGAAATGATGCACAGATTTTACCAGTTACTCTGAGTTTTAGGAGATGACGGGCTTCTAAACGACTCCTATTATGCTTCATCCACAACATCTCATTCCATGCGTATATTTTAAGGAATTTTACACCTTTTATGACTTCTTTAAATAGCTCACCATGAATTTTAACCTTCATTGTTAACGTTTTTTTTATCAAATGTCTTCATGCCGTAGCTCCTGCTTACGTGCCGTCTAGCAAGGGAGCTGAAGATGTTCTGGAGATGGTGTGAAATATTATTTTATAGGCAAAATGTGCCAACTCAATTCCTTATAATTTTTTAGCTTTGTTAACAAATATCGCAAATAAAGAATTCAAAAACAGCTTTATTATTTTGTCCTCTTAAAAATACATTTTCAAGATGAAAAGCACATATAATTTAAAATATTTGACTGTAAAACCCCTCGATTACAAATATCGTGAATTTCTTCCTAACGCTTGCCATTTTTCATCCGGAATACGATTACAGAGTTGACCGTGGCAGACACTGTTTTATAGTCTCCAGCCATAACGGTACAGAGTCGAGGTATGAACAGAAAAACATGATGTTTGGGATAGATGAAATTATACTATATGCCTAGAAGAATTTCTTAAGATTAAATCCTGATATTATTAAGGAGCATTACGCACAGATTCAATTTATAACTTTATTGAAATCGGGAACAAAATGTTTTTCTACTCCCTGCCAATTGTTGCATAATTTTTCGACGTTAAAAATCTGACGCCCGATGAGGCCGAACGAACGTTTTTAACGTTAAGTTTGAATTGTAGGGGAGATTGTCCAAGAATCATTTTGCACACCGCACGTATTTGCATCGATCTCAGAAGCAAATGATTTGAATTCCATACCGGCTGGAGTGGGCTAATATGCTGGTGTGAGTCAGAAGATTTGATTTTTTGATTGGATTTTTAGAAACAAGTTGAAACTTACAGCTATCAGTCCATGTGATAACAGACTTATAAGTCATCAGCGGGACAATCAATTACATATGCTGTACGTCGGTGATGGCCTGAAGTTTTTTATCATGAATCTTCTTCGAAAATTTTATTTATACTTCATTTGAAATTATGAGATATTTATGTAATATTCTGCAAACGTATTATCTAAGCAGATAAGGTGCAGTTTAATAAAACGTCAGAAATTGGCTAGTTTAATGCTTTTATAATCGAAAATAACTGAAAAAACTGAGACTTTGACGGGGATCATACCAGTGTTCACCACTTGTTACATGCGGCTGGGGAAGTCAGGTTCCTTGAGACGTGATGCTAGATTTATGCCAGTGTTCGCCACTTGTTACATGAGGCTGGGGGAGTCAGGTTCCTTGAGACGTTATGCTAGATTTATGCCAGTGTTTGTCACTTGTTACATGAGGCTGGGAGAGTCAGGTTCCTTGAGACGTGATGCTAGATTTATGCCAGTGTTTGTCACTTGTTACATGTGGCTGGGGGAGTCAGGTTCCTTGAGACGTGATGCCAGATTTATGCCCGTGTTTGTCACTAGTTACATGAGGCTGGGGGAGTCAGGCTCCTTGAGACATGATGCTAGATTTATGCCAGTGTTCGTCACTTGTTACATGAGGCTGGGGGAGTCAGGTTCCTTGAGACGTGATGCTAGATTTATGCCAGTGTTCACTACTCATTACATGTGGCTGGATCAGCCGATTTCCTTCAATCAGTTTTTTGTTTTGCCGGCGCCGATGAGATTTACGTTTCATGATCTCCACTACAAAGATGATGATGCTGAGGCCGAGGCCAAAAAGAAGCAAGACGAAGAGGCTCGACACGTCGATGAGGTCCCCAGCGACGATGCTATCATCTTCACAGAACACGTCCACTGACATCCACTTCTTGACGAACTTATGCATCAGGCCGAGCTCACGAAATTTCTGCAAGCTATAACATTTCGTTAGGAAAAGCTCAACGGTCTCTTCGTGCTAATTTATCAATAATGAACATTTATGTATAGTATATGACTGCCATCAATAGTTTTACTTTATTGTTAATTGATTAAGGTGGTATATTTTATTTCAGACATCAGCTCTATTAGAAACGGCATAAATTCAAGAGACAACCATCTGAAGTATAAAATGCACTCAACTATAAACATTCATTAATTTGTAAAAGGTACACGCGTTGTACTTGCGATCGACAAAATTTATCATTGACGGTTCATAGTGTATGGAGGACTGAACCTCCAATGATACTGGAAAACGTTTAAAGCATTTTGAATATCTATATTATTTTCCGTAATACGTATGGAAACGTTCAAATTATGTAATTAGAGGAATATTGTACCGAGAGTTTGAAGGAATAAATTAAAATGAATACCATCATACCACACCTGTCCCACTACGTCATACGAGAAGACTAGCTGATAATTATGCTTATATACATTATGCTTAATTATACATGTAGCCGCCATTTTCCCTTTTTCTGAAACTTGTATAGCAATAGAATTAGCCTACTCGACGCAGTTGATTTCACTAGCGTCATTAGCATTCATTGTTAGCCCTTGATATACGGATGCCAGCACTACCAGGGGAACCAAGCTATTAGGTTCGTTCGATTTATCGTTTGTTTTCGTGAATTATTGATTATCCTGTTAAATTATTGCTTTATCTTGGTTCATATATTTCATGTAATTAGCCTATATTTGCCATTTCCTTTCTAGAAACCGTACATCATGGAATACTCGTTTTTTATCCTGCTATGATGGCGCGTCTTTGGATAGTTCAGTTAACGTTCCCAAAGAACTAGCCAACAAGAAAGTCCTTTACAATACATTAAACCCTTAACTTGACTATTGCGGCACCTCAGGTCAAAGGAGGGCTGGAAGGGCGAGTCGTATTGCAGCCCAATGGCGATGCCGCCTTGGATGTACATGCCGGATAGCTCCTTGATCTTGCAGGCCTGGTACGCTGGCAGCTGCCGCATGTAGTACTGCGTGGTCACCCCCACACCGATGAACACGTACTGACCTGAGAGACAAGTGATGATAGTCCATTTATACATAACAGAAGAAAAATCAATCATATTTGAGCAAGAAACTTCACGAAACGACTTCATATCACGAAAAACACTTTACGATCAATACAACATGCCCACTATAAACACAGTCATTTTAAAGCCAAACCCATGGTTTGAAAAACAGAATAAGAGTTTTTCGGTATGTTAAAGCCAAACCAATGGTTTGAAAACCATAGAATATGACGCATGACGCAAGTAGGAGATTTTTGCCCCTTCAAGTGACCCGAAGTAAATAAAGAATTTCAGTTCATCAGATAATATTTATTCTATTGAACTCCAGGTGCAAGTTCGCGCTTGAGGTTTGATGCGTCAGTTAGGGAATTCCTTCTCCCAGTGCAAGAGCCACGTTTTAACGTAGTTTTCAGATTCGGCCGTAGTCACCGAGGAAGGTAAGGGGTGCGTAACAATTTAGTATTACTCTCTCCTTTCGTTCGGCGAAACAGGACGAAACACAAATTAAGCAGCTAATTTAAGTGCTAAGCAAGCTATAACGGCGGTCATGTACCAGAAGCTGATAGGCGCGTACATTGTTACAAAGAATTTGTTTACATGTCGGTACTGGAAACTTTTCTCACGGTAGGTTTTTTGTGCTATTTTAGGGCCCTGACAGAAAGGCAGAAACTAGTTCGTGGGAGAAAATGGAGTAGGTTTGTCATGAATTTTGAAACACTTTATGCGCAGTAATTTCTCTATAGAAATAATGTAAAAATGTTAAACTAACCATCGCCTTACGATGAGAATGATTCCAGAATGGTATAAATTCTTTCTCTTCCTGAGACCTTCAACTAGTTTCTTGATAAGCTTAATTGAAGACACGACCACATTTTCCTCCTTCACGAATAAATGTCCCAACATTGTAAGAGGGCCTGATCAACATATAGGAATCCCCACCTTCGATTGCTTTGAGTAGTCCTTCTGTGTAGGTCGCCACGAGGTTACTCGATTCTTTCATCACATTTTTATTCCAAACATCATACAAAGTTTGGCATTCGTCGCTGCGCGGCTCTGCAGCGCAGGTTTTCTGTTTAGAAAAAGAGTCACAGTATAGCGAGGCCCGTTTTTAAAACGGATGTAAATTTTGGTTTATTTTATTTGAAAATGTATATGGAGAGCTGTAATGTAATTGGCTGTTGAATGTGTAATGAGCTTCACGCTTCTCTTCAGCAACATCACAGTGACCTAATGTTTGCATCATCGGCCTCAGAAGTAAGTGCGTGTCACCAGCGACTTATTATTTTTCAAACCTCTGTTTCTAACATTTTATTGAATATTTAACTGCCCTATAACTATGTATATGCATGCATCTTCGCTCCATTCTCTCTCTATCCCTATGCCTCCTTCATGCACCGAACCCTAGGGTCCTGTCTCAGAGGGTCAGGGGCACGAACCCATCTTTGCAATCTCTTCTAACTTCATCCTCATCAAATCATCTCCATTCATCATTAACCCTCGAACCACCTCAACAAAGTCAACTTGACTGCCTGCAGCTTACAGAATTCAACTAAAGAAAATCAACCCAAGAATTCCTAATGACCGACCAGCAATATTTCAGACGACTTTCCATGACCTCAACGCTCCACTTATCGGACTTATCGAAACCGCAACTGAATATCAAAAGGAAGAGCCATAAAGAAATTCAAAATCATCCACATCAGTAGACAAAACGCGTCGAAAATGTGGATGAGTCGACAAAGCTCGGCAAAGCTCGCAAAACAATTGCCTTACGAATTTATACAAAATTTTAAAATTTTTAACACCTCCTTCCCAATATTAAATGCCACCTGTACCTTACTTTTGCTAGATCATCTTTCATACACCCCATTACCACTACACCTCCTGTCAAAACCCCGTATCCAAACTATAAATTGCGCAAAATATTTCATAAAAACATTTTATAAAAGCACACTAGAACGACTTCATATCTTGAAAAACACTTTACGATCAATACAACATGCCCGCTATAAACACAGTCATTCGGCAACAAGCTTGCAAAACTTAGTTTGCCATCAAAACATACGACTCGCATGTATTCAATCAATTATCTCTCCTTCCAGACGCCACAGCAAGGCCACACCAGTTTTTAAAAGTTCCAAAGTAGTCGCTCTAGGTCACCACCTCCACCCCATTACAGCTGACAACTAACCTCACACACCCTAACCTTATAATAGGCGTAACGGGCAATCAGTACTCATCCAAACCCCATTCAAGGGACATGGGGGACAACCCCACATCCTCAATAAACAAATAAACAATCCCATTCAAACCCCACACATCTAAATTCAACCTAGTTCAACCCTTTTCCATCTCCTGTGGTCTTATCCACTTCTATTTTTCCCTTTCTATGAACTCAGTTCCTCCTGTTCTTTTCTACATTTCCCTAGTAGCACCATAATAAAAAAATGTATCATCAATGGATATGGATGGTCCTAAAATGGATGATGATGGGGGTTAGAGCTTGCGAGGTGGACTTAACCGTGTTACTCCACGACTATAAAATGCAATCTCTGGATATATGTAAGAAACAATGATAAGTTAACTATGATCTTTCTAAGCATATCTCACTGAAGCTGTGACTTGGAATAGGTCATCCTTAACGCAACCAGCGCCCCACTCGGAGTGCTTGGAGAGTTCGAAGAGGTTGCTGAAAGGAAGCGTGGCAGGGAACACCACCGCCAGATAGCTTGTCAGAGTCGCGGTGTAGGCCGTGAACACAAGCATGTTCTGCAGCTCCCCCACCATGCCGTCCCAGTTGTTGGCGCCGTCGATGGGCTTGCCGTATGAGTACCCCTTCAGGATGCTCAGCGACAAACTTGACGTTATAAAATTAATTAGTAATTTTATTAGCATTCTGTGCTGGTACAAATTTATGTTTGCTGTTCAAATTTGCACGATAACTGAGAACTGAGGCGTTTTTAAGCCGATCTTTTTTTAGCGCATTTTCTCATCTATGGAAAAAATGCACTATTGTGCTCGCCATGTCCGTCTGTCTGTCTGTCTGTCTGTCCATCTGTCTGTCCGTCCGTCCGTGACCTCAAATTTTCATCGACGAGAAAATGCGCTCTCTATCACTCACTGCAGTGAGTACTGAGTTATATTTTTTTTAATAGTATACACTATGCAGCAATACAAAATTATAAAATCTTGAACACCAGAAGGAGAGCAAAAAGTCTTGAAATTGCCTCAAATGCAGGCACCCCACAGGTCGTACGAAACTCATCGAGATACTCTAAACAGGAGGTCTGTTCGTTGGTATCGTAATCGAAATGATGGCGTCACTTGGACACGCTGTTATCTAAACAAGAGGTCTATTCGCTGTTATATCAATCGAGGTGATGTCATTGCTTGTATACACTTTTATTTAAACAGGAGGTCTGTTTGTCGGTATCGCAATCGAAATGATGGCGTGACTTGGACACGCTGTTATCTAAACAGGAGGTCTTTTCACTGTTATATCAATCGAGGTGATGTCATTGCTTGTATACACTTTTATTTAAGCAGGAGGTCTGTTTAATGGTGTTTTGATCTTGGTGACGGCATTGCGAGGATTCATTTCATTTTTATCTAGAAAGGCGCTTTGTACATTGCAAGATATTGCAAGATATTGCAAGATATTGCAAGATATTGCAAGATATTGCTAAATCTTGCAAGATATTGCAATATAGTGAATGGTATTGTAGTTGAGGTGCCGCCGTATAACACCAAGACTCCTGCTTTGAGACCAGTTTTTCGTAGCGAGAATTTACGCTTCTAAGACCGTCCTAAATGCGGTATTCCATATCGTTGATTCAAAGAGAGCCGAACACCAAGAACCGACGGAGAGAATAGAACTTCCATCAAATAGACAAAGACATACTGATACAGATGCATCAGTCGAACCTTATATTTTTTCCGAAGTACTGAAAATTAAATAGCTCCTCCATTTGGTAGTTTCAGACAAAAATTTCATAAGACTAATATTGCGCAATTAGTTAAAATTATTTTCATTACATGAACATTCAAGAAACTCTAGGATGAAAAATTTTGACCATCATTACATTAAAACAGCGTAAAAAATATGCTGTAAAACCTCCGAAATAAAATGAACATATTGAAACAGTCCTAAGAACTTTCTGTTAAGTGTTGTGGCCAAGAGCAGCACAGGCTTTTGTAGTATACTCAAGCAATACTACAGACATATGGAGTAATTCAGATAAACGATTCTTTCGTAACAGTTTCTGGCACAACAGCAATCCATCTTTCCAGAATCTTCTTCAACAGTAATCCATCTGCCCAGATACCCCACAATATCAATCCATCTGTTTAGATAGCGGCACAAAATCAATCCATCGGCCACAAAGAATCCTCAGCAACACAAATCAATCGCTTGCAGTGGATATCATTAAAGGATCGTGAAGGTCGATTTTCGTAGAATATTTCATTTTACGGCTTAATTGAGCCCAGACAAACATGTCCTCGAGGCGCAGCTACAGTGCGTGGCGTGGAAATAGGAAATGCCCTGGCTGACCTAGTCCTCAGTGTAAACATGAATTAAAGGATGAATGGATAGAAAAAGTCAGCACACTTGGTTTAAACGCCATTGAAAATCTCCATTCTGTGAATAAGTTTATGGTGTTAACATTTAATGAAAAATGGCACTCAGAACGATGGATTTTGTGGCGTGAGTCTGACGGAACGGTGAATTTGTTTAGTCTTTCAGAGCAGGGGATTTTGTGGTGAGAGTCTGGCAGAGCGGTGGATTTTGTGATGAGAGTTTGGCACAGCGATGTATTTTGCTTAGTCTGGCAGAGCGATGGATTTTATTTAGTCTGGCAGAGCGGTGGATTTTGTGATTGGGCCGAGAGGTCAATTTTGTATTACAGTAGAATATGACAGAGCTTGTATATTAGCCAATTAGCCAATAATGGCTTGCCTGAATTCTAGCAGCGCAACAAATTCCCTATCTCAAGTCGGACAGCGTAACTATTGTAGATGCAATAATTTATTTATTTAGAATTATTGCCATTTTGTATTTCAGAATAAGAGAGTCTATTGAATATGAAGCGGTCTTCTCTGCACTGCTTGGCTCGCAGATTTGTTCACAATGACTTTGAGAAAGTTTTGAAATTACCGTAGCAGGGCCTATACTTTCCAAAAAAAAAGTTATGAGATCGTAAGTTCATTAGACAATCATTGACGGTCTTTAAAGCGAAATCCACCGATCAGAGACAAGAAAATAGAGCGTAACTACTTACGTTTACTTAGCGAGTTTTTTTTATTAACAAATTTATTTTCTTCGAATCAACATTATTTTCTTTGCATTTTATGGCCACCGAGAGTATTTTCTATCAGAAGTCGTTCCACAATTTCTAACGCTCATTACTAAGCTATGCTCTGCCTTTTTCAATAATTTTCACGTATTACTAAATAATTCCATGCATTTCTAAACTTTGTTCCCGTATTTCTAAGCTATGCCCAGCATTTCTCTATTCTGCCCACGTATTACTAAGCTATGATCTGCATTTCACTATTTTGCTCCCGTTTGCCTGAGAAAATCCCTTGAATTCACCAATTCTACTCCAGTATTCCTAAGCTAATCCCATGCTTGAATTAATTATTTGCATTCCCAAATTCTACTCCCGCATTCTTGAGTTAATCCCTTATATTATCAATATTAATAAAAGTTTCCTTCGCATTCTACATGCAGATAAAACCAAATTTTGACACGCAATAAATACCACAATCTTCACTAAAACTTCGATTTATTCCCCCAATTCTGGTCGCACTCACGAGAAGTTGTGGGTGTTCTTCAGCGTGGTAACGATGTCACCCACGAACCCCGACACTCCCCCGTCAGGTAAATAAGTCGTGAAGAAATCAAAAACCTGAAGCGGGAAATGTGCTTTGTTTTGAGCTGCATTTTTTCGGCGATCGCTTGTTAAAAATGATGCCAAGAATTAAGTACCAGTAATTAAGAGATCATTAATTTAATACATTATCGGCAATCGCTTGTCAAAATTGATGCCAAGAATTAAGTATCAGTAGTTCGACATCATTTTAATACATCACACAGATTAAGCCAGACTTATGAAATAGATTTATTTGAAAAATTCAAATGCAGTGAGAACGATTGGAAAAGATTGAGTAACTTCAAATGTAATTCAGTTATAAACCTCAATTACTCACCCTAACTCCGACACCAATTATTGGATATCCCTTGAAATCTTGCCGCCGTTCAATTTTATCTTCAATGAATTTATATTTCATGAACCCTTCTCCGGCGGTCCACGTTCCTCCTTCCTCAACCTGGACCTCGGACACCCGAGGCCCGATCCTGTAGGCGCTCAGCACCTGAAGGGCGAGCGGGGGAGGCTTACCAGGCAGGCCAAGTTAAGCAACGGTTACAACAGCACCTGGGGCCATACTTTCAAAACTCGCTAAGAGAACGTAAGTACTTACGCTCTATTTTCTTGAAAATGATTAAGTGAACGTAAGTACTTACGCTCTATTTTCTTGTCTGTGATTGGTGGATTTTGCTTGAAAGGACGTCAATGATTGGTTGATGAACTTACGATCTCGTAACTTTCTTGAAACTATGGCCCCTGAAGAGCAAGTCGAAGAGACTTACAAGTTCACAAAACTAAGCAACTGTTACAAGTTTGTTCGTAATACCGCTGATGCATAATTTTTACACGTGTTTTGCCGGGCGTTCAATGCGCGTTTTTAGTTTGGCGAATGCGTTGCACGCGTTTTTGTAGGGCGTTCCATGCTTTTCGCTACAAGCGCGAATAATATTCATTCTGAATTAGAGTTATCACATGTGCGCACATTTTTTTTATATACATCAACTAGCGTATACGCTCAGCCTTAATTGTCCATAGCACCTCCACTCAATTTTTGAATCCGTTAATTCAAATAAAATAATTTATAATTTCAAAGAAGAAGGTTGTTACTGTACATGGACTCGACAACTTTTTTTATGGGAAAATATGGGAAAACTAAGCAAGTCAGCTTACATATTCATTGACTTACATATTCATTGTTATGTTATAACATCAGGTTATTTTTCTCACATGCACGGAGCAGTGATTGTAGCCCAGTAAGTAAATCTCGGAGGGGATGTAGGCCTCCAGCCCCCCAGCAAACTGGGCCAAGTCCAGCACTGAGCTGGGCTCTGCAATCACAGCCCAGGAGGTGTAGCTCAGAGCGTTCTGGGCGCTGGCCTGATCCAGAGATGAGACGGAAAAATGAATTCATATTTTAACTTTTAATTACCGTCAATTTTCAAGCTTTGGATAACATCAAATACCGCAGGCTGAGCACAGAAAAGGACCAATGAAAATTTAAATTTTATCACATTTTAAATAAAAATTCCTGCGATATTTGACAATTATCAGGCATCATTAATAACAAATTGAAAGAAGGAAAATATTTCGTTTGCTGTTTAATGCCCGAAACAAATGATCGCTTCAAAACCTTGCACGCATCAAACAGTAGCCAAAGAGGACCTCCTGCATGAGGTGTCGGGAGGCGTTGGTGTCAGCGAGCAGAAAGTTGCGGCGGCCGCTGACGTCAGGCGGGTAGAGCTGCGTCAGCACCCGGTCGCTGCTCACCAGGGTTGCCCGCCACCCGCGCCCCCACAGCAGCCGCAACAGCCCGCCGCGGGGGCCTCGCAGACAGTCGGGGCTCAGGACGCCTTCTGGTGGGGGAAGTGACGGACTTTTGACGTTAAAATGTGGGAAATTAAACCCAATTTACTTACGGATTTTAATTTTTAAATTAAAATTTGAATTAAAAAATTAAAAATACAAATTTTTCAATTTTACAAATTGAAGTGGTTACCTGGCAATTTTCATTCTAAATATTGTTGTTGAAAATACAGGAAACAGACATATATTTGCTGCCAGGTTTGAAATGAGGAAATGGCGATGAAGGAAACTTCAAAAGGTTGCCTCAGAAAGCCATTGCTAATATTCGTAAAAATATGAAAGTTTGAATTAATTTTAACAGATTAACTTATATCAATGTATAAAACTAAACAACGTGCACAAGTTTTTAGAGATTTCCAGATTTAATTAAAAAAATTTACTTGGAGTAAAGAATTGCCCAATTATATAAGGAAATTTTTTGAATCAAAAAATGTGTCGAGGAACAGCGAAGTCTCTGGAAAGTTGAGCACTACAAAGAGAGTAAATAAAGTTCAGGATTTCGCTTGGTGAAGTGTTTAGAAAATTGTTACTACAGTTATATAACATTACTAAATACTGCATGAAGTTTGAAGGCGATTGCGATTAAAGAAACATTCAGCAATTTCTAAATATTTGCATCGCTGAGGTGACATCGAAATGAAGACAAAAATCTCAACATCAATGAACTCCGTGACCAAATAGTGGTTCTCGACGATAAGAAACCGAATTTCTTCAAAATTCTGTGTTTGCATTCAATAGGCCGAAAAAATTTTAATAAGAATTTAAAATATCAGGGATAAACTACGAAAACATTCAAATCCTTTAGAATCGCTCGATGTAATTTGCCTGGAAACCATTAAAATTTCACTATTTCCACCACTTAATAGGAATTTTTAACGGTTTTCCTCATTTCTCAGATATTATAGTGCTTATGTCGTGTCTGTATAGCAACAAATTACGGACCAGGCAATAAGTCCAGCAGCTATCTCAATCAATCGTCAGTTATGGAAAGATCGGGTTCCAAAGGCCGGATCCCTTGCGTGAATCAAGTCACGAAAAGTTCAAGAATCGGCAACAGGCCATGGGCCAATTTCTTCAACGCCGACACTTCTATTCTATTCTATTCTAATAGCGCGAGGCGTTCCCAACAAAGGACGAGAATAATGTAATCGAGCCGTGACCAAAATAGAACAAAGAGTCAGTTGCAGCGAGATGATGGTAACATATTAAATTTCATGGGGACCCAAGCGCATATCATCAGGGCATAAAAATTACTAGCACAGAAAAGGGTTATCTAAATAAATTTTATGTTGTACATTTTCTCATTACCTCACTCAAACTTCATGCTTTGGTATGAAAACGCGGATCCGTTGCATGATCCCGTAATTACGGTGGCCGTATACGTGCCACAATCGTATTGATTACCAACGCCATGAGAAGTATTGGACGTGTTCCCCGATCTTATGGTCCTCTCTGTTTAATTAGGATTTCTGTCACGCCACTTCGTAATATAACTAACGGCCAGCGTTGCCGTAGAGTTAATCATGAATGTGCGTTGTGAACTTTTACGATGTTACTCCCGACTCGGTGCCGGATTGCTGCTTCTATTGGCCGTGACCGTCCTCCCGAAAATAATTATTACGCCACACTTGTTAACTGAGCGATGTCGCATTTACGAATACTGCAAACATAGCAGCATCTTGTGTTATCTCACGTCACTGTCGGTGCCGCCATAGTTTTAATGTTGGCCCTAATTAGCTGAGCTGTGACGGTGTGACCGAGGTTTTCGTCTCTTTGAAGCTCTTATACAGGATATAGTTAAGGATGTATAGGATATGTAGTTAAGGTTGTCTCAGGTACCCAAAAGTTCTCACTGTCTTCACTGTTCTGACGTCTGCAGAGCTGCTGACCGTGAATACGACACGGGTTCCTACTGTATAACCTTTTTAGCGGGAACATTGCTTATACACCCAGGAGTCCTGCACACTTATGCCTATTTAGGAGACACCGTGCACATATGTGGCAACAGCTTGAAATGTCCCTCATTTTACCCTCGGCTAATATATACAAACTCGCCCTCACGCGATGCCTTCATTTTGCACAACGCCATTTTTAGTATTATAACATTAAGTAGAGCACACTATTACCTGCACATTATTCAGCATTTTCAACAGAGGACGTGCAGAACGTGTTATGCTCTACGAACGCTTCCTAAATAAAAGATGATTACTGAAAAATAATAAATATAAGATTTTTGTTTTGCTATCCAGCTCAGCAATAATTTTGCCTGAAAGCGAAGCACACGTGTTATATATACGTACGCCATGTTTGAGGGTGGGACTTACGTTCTAGCTCATGCGTCACGATGACGATGGAGTCCCATTCATGCGCTGTCATGAAGTCCACCACGAACCTTGCGACACACTCACAGTCGGAGAGACGGTCTTCAACTACCGGTCGATCTTGCGTTAAATAAGCAGTTCTTAACCTGCTGCTCAAACTACAGCGACCGTTGATTTCTTTGCGTCTCAGCGCTGAAAAATCGTCCAAGTTGTCAATAAAAGGTAAAGGAAAATTTGAAGCGCTGCCGATTTCTTCAAGGTCATGCGACATTATTAGGTTTTCTGAACTTTTTTCTTTAATAGCTGCAGTTTTATCGACATGATTTCTTAGACCAGACTGTAGGTTTGCTGGATCAGTGACGGTCTCATTGCCGCCATTTGATGTGAAGTGCGTAACTGAGGCGATTTCGTCACAAGTATTGAATTTGAAATCAATCACGTCCACAATTTCAAACTTTTCACTTGCATTTTGATACTGATTCTTTGATATTTCATTGGCTGTCTCTAAAGAATTTGCATCGTAGGTTGCTTTTATTTCATCGTCACGTGATGAGTTGACCGCTGACTTTACAGGTTCAAGAGACGATTTGGCAGTTGACTTTACAGGTTCAAGAGACAATTTGGACGCTGACTTTATAGGTTCAAGAGACGAGTTGGCCGCTGACTTTACAGGTTCAAGAGACGAGTTGGCTGCTGACATTAGAGGTTCAGGAGACGAGTTGGCTGCTGACATTAGAGGTTCAAGAGACGAGTTGGCTGCTGACTTTAGAAGTTCAAGAGACAAGTTGGCTGCTGACTTTAGAGGTTCAAGAGACGAGTTGGCCGCTGATTTTAGAGGTTCAATGAGTTCGTTTGCCTCTCCGTTTTGGGTTACGATCATTATGAAAATAATAGTTGTTTGGAACTGGACTGGCTTCTTCATTCTGCTTACGCTGAGTTAATTGAATATCATGTCTCTTGTGGGGCCTGATATCCTGCACACAGCATGGTGAGCAACACAGCATGGTAAGCTATACAGCATGGTGAGCAGCACAGCATGGTGAGAAACACAGCATGGTGAGCAACACAGCAAGGTGAGCAACACAGCAGTATATTACAGAGGGAGCTCTAGCATATTACAGAGGGAGCTCTAGCATATTACAGAGGGAGCTCTAGCATATTACAGAGGGAGCTCTAGCATATTACAGAGGGAGCTATATCATATTACAGAGGGAGCTCTAGCATATTACAGAGGGAGCTATATCATATTACAGAGGGAGCTATAGAGTGAACCTTTAACGGGTGTTTCTTTTGATGCATTCCATGGTACGCTAGAAGGTGCTAACAACCTGAATGATCAATACGATAGAAAATAATTGAATGAAGATAAGTTATTGATAAGAAGTTAATAAGATATCAAATAATATTGGATGGTTGGAAGATGTCTTCACTCATGACCCTTATTCTTCAATTATCCCTTACTGAAAAAGATTTAGTAAAAGTCTACGGATTTTAGTTCAAGTATTTAAATGGCAATGCAAAAGTTTACGGTTTTAATGTATATTTCCTTGTTTGCACATCTCTAAAGATAATGGCAACCGAGATGATGAATGATAACTAACCAAATGCATTACATTAGCAGCACTTTTCCAACATTCACCGCAGCCACATGATTATCTACACTCAAAAATACCAGCACTTCAAATCGTCAACAGCGGCGCTGAATGCCGCCTCTGCGTACGCTCGCCGACCAGCTCCATGGCACTGCATTTATACTGGCACTCACGGCACTCTTATTGGTCCCGGCCTTATCTTCTAATTGGCATTCAGAGAACACTCAGCCTTTCTGGCTCTGGGTTTAGAGGTTAATTATTCAGCAGGATTTTGAATGGAGACCCGTGAATTTTACACGAAGCACTCGTTGAGTGGCTTTAGAAACTGCGTTAGAGCTGTCGAGTACAGCGTGGAAGTGCATGCTTGAAATATTCATCTTGACGGGCGTTAATTCTTTGCAAGGAATTCGTGAAATTAGAAACTGAATTCACGAACTGTTTTCTGTTAGAATTAAATTACGGACTGTAATCACAAATGAAAATTAAAAATACCCATCAAGTGTACGGATAATTATTACCCAAGAAAATTAAGATCATAAGAGATATTTTATAAAGACATGTGAGTGTAATTAAGAAAACCTCAAGTTTTCTCTTTTAAATTTAAATTTCCCTAAAACTTCGGAACTGAGCTTGAACTAAAATTTTTTTGCATCTACCACTTTTTATAACGTCAAGCACTTGGTAAAACAGCATGGTTCCCAAGTATTTTTAGATTTATTTTTTCGCTTATAAGACACATATTTTCCTTTAGACATATATTTTCTTTACATTGGTTCACAAATCATCAAACCATGTCGATTGCAATACAACAAAATTTTCGATAGATAATTGCACCAACAATTGGAAATGCCTATTTTAAATAGATTTATCGTAGTTTTCAGGTGTTGTCTATTGTAATAAAACAAAATGGAAATGTTATTTTTAAATAAATTTATTGTAGTTTTCAGGTGTTGTTCACTCGGGCATTGTTAACGGTATGGCGAGCGGACACTCCTGACAGTGCAGACATCGGCACCACATTTCCCGAGGACAAAGAAACCTGGAGCGCCTGAGTTATTCGTGTCGCGTGAGTGCTTCATCGGGTGACATGGCAGCCGACCTGTGCTTTGCCTCTACTTTCAAGAGTCAATTTCATGAATTAATTAAGAGATCTCACTTATAGCTTCAAGGCATTGACACGGCAGAGTGCTTTGCCTCTACTTTCAAGAGTCAATTTCGTGAATTAATTAAGAGATTTCACTTATAGCTTCAAGGCATTGACACGGCAGCCGACCTGTGCTATGCCTCTACTTTCAAGAGTCAATTTCATGAATTAATTAAGAGATCTCACTTATAGCTTCAAGGCATACATTATTTGTAGTGCAAAGTACTGGCTTGTGAGCCTCGTTGTAATTTGCTAGGCTCCCGGGCATCGGATGTCCATTAATATTGCTGAGTAATTGCCATTCATTTAGTGAGAATGTAAAGTAGGTCGTATATTGTCTCTTAACTGCCACACTTCACTACGCATCGTTCATTTTCATGTCATGTCGTACTTTTAATAATGCATTACACGAGTGCGCAATTTAATGTTAAATTGCTCAGCTATGTCAGGATTTGAACTGACACATATCATTTGTGGTCGAAAATGTGTGTCATATGCTAAATCATTGCTCCCTTCTAGGTCCTACTTGATGCATAAGAAATAGCGGCCTCATGCATACATCAGAGTATAGCGGACATCCCGCTATCATCGACAAGGGGACATGATATGCACTAGGAGACATACGCGAGACATTGTTCAAATAGCGATGCGCTTTATACTCTTGAATGGGTCACCCTAACCCAGTTTTGATCCGGTAAAAGGGCGTATCAGTGCCACATCTGCCTCTTACACGTGCTATGGGTAAGAAAGTGTGTTAATATTTTGATAGTATCCCTAATAATTTTTTGAGTGCAGCGACATGTTCTGGATACTGGATCGCGGCGATGCGGAACGCGGACGTCGCGTCTAAATATTTCAGTTCCCCACGAGAACCTTGCGTGTTGCGAGTTTCGGAAGGCGAACGTGGAACAATGGCAGTTTCTGTTCCTATTAATTAATAAACATGAACAGTTCAGTGATTAGGTGTAATTATACTCTTAATGGAGCACGCGATGCAATGAATTTGGTAGAAGAATGCAAGTGCCTGGGCATAACAGTCGGGCACCACGCACGTTCCTGTCAAGCGATCTGACTAATGTGGCTTTTTTGTCAGAGATTTTCTTAAGAAATTTATTGTATGAATGCTTGTTGAAATTCATGGAGAGTTGCGATGTTGGGTGAAGCATTTGAATTTGCATCAACATGTTATTGAGTTCAATTAAGTTAGGTTATAATGCTTCCAAAAAATCCCAATTATTTTGGTTCAAGTGAAAAAATAGAAATTAACGCTATCAGAAATTGAAGCTAGAAAGTTGAAATATTTCTTATATCCGTGATAAATAGTGCCGTACCATTTCGTGAGGGTCACTATGAATATTCTATCTTCCTTGAATATCTTTGATGATGTTGTCCGATAATGACCTGAAAAATTGTAACTTTATTAATTAAACACAGATACTGAGAAATAGCCGCGGACGAGTATGTTTAGATATTATGGAAGCGGTCTATAAAGTCATTCACTTTGAAATTAATAATTCTATGCATGTGTATGTATATACTGAGGCACTATAGATATCCTTACATATGAATGAATACGTAATAATGTATTCATTTGAATTAATAGTTATTTTTAGTGATACTTTCAACACAAAGAACGAATGGAATCCCGTGGAAGATGTCACGAAACAGGTACAATGTTTACCCGCTCCCTACATCAGTTGACTGACGCATGGCGGCCTTCACACTGTAAATAGCACACAGAGACAACGCATACGCAATACAAAGAAAATACAGAGACAACACAGTACTAAAACAATCCTCACACATTACTCAGGACTTGACTCATAAACTTGACTCACAAACAGATCAATTCCATCCAAGGGTCAGGAAAAGAAAGTCAACGTTCCATGGCAATAAGTTTAACGTATGATTGATGCTGTTAAAATTATCATAGACTACCTAATATATGAGAATAGGACTCAAGTGACCGGTGAGTGGACTTCGATGCAAGTCTTCTGGTATGCACTGGAAGAGATGGGGCTGGCTCCGGTGACAGTGGACTTTAAAGCCTGGAAGTTTATTGGTCATGAGAATAGGACTTAAGTGACCGGTGAGTGGACTTCGATGCAAGTCTTCTGGTATGCACTGGAAGGGATGGGGCTGACTCCGGTGACAGTGGACTTCAAAGCCTGGAAGTTTATTGGCCATGAGAACAGGACTCAAGTGACCGGTGAGTGGACTTCGATGCAAGTCTTCTGGTATGCACTGTAAGGAGTGGGGCTGACTCCGGTGACAATGGACTTCAAAGCCTGGAAGTTTATTGGTCACGTGACTTGGACTTAAGTGACTGGTGAGTGGACTTCGATGTAAGTCTTCTCATATGCACTGGAAGGAGTGGGGCTGACAATGGACTTCAAAGCCTGGAAGTTTATTGGTCATGAGAATAGGACTTAAGTGACTGGTGAGTGGACTTCGATGCAAGTCTTCTGGTATGCATTGGAAGAGATGGGGCTGACTCCAGTGACAATGGACTTCAAGGCCTGGAAGTTTATTGGTCACGTGACTTTATGCTTTGTGGACGCTTGGTGTTGGATTATTACACAGCAATAGAAATAGTGCTGAGCTTCTGTAATGGGCTAAACATATAGTGGTCTAATGGGCTGAAATATACAGATCATAATGACTTGAGCCATTTTGGCAATAACGAGCAGGTAAATCTCCTATAATGAGCTGGTACAGCTCCTATAATGAGCCGGTATAGCACATGCAATGAGCCAGTATAGCACCATAGTGAGCTGGAGTAGTAGCTCCTATAATGAGGCGGTATAGCATTATAATGAGCTGGTTTAGCCCTGTAGTGCGCCATGGTATATTGCCAATAATGAGTGTCCTTGTGACCGAGGTGCCTCTATAATGAGCCATAGATCCCTTGTGAATTAAGTCACTAAAAGTTCATGAATCGGCAACAGACCATGGGCATACTGTATTTCTTCAGTGCTGACACTTTCATTCTATTCTATGATATTCTATTGTATAGTGCCCATAACGAGGGCCCTTGTAACCGCGGTGCCTCTAATGATCCATGATATTGTGCCAATAATGAGTGCCTTTGTTATCAAGGTGCCTCTAATGAGCCATGATATAGTGCCAATAATGGCACCTTGC